TTCCTGCCTCTACCTTGCGAGAAGTCCTCTAAGTCTTGGTTTCCTTCTGGGGAAAGGGAGTGATACCATCCTCATGGGGAGGCTGTGAGCACTAAGTGACAGGACACAGGTCAAATGCCAACGCCTGGGCCAGGCACGTGGTCATCCCAAAGACGCGCACAGTTGGGACTCTCGTGTCATTGGAATGCTCACCCTCCCCCCATGCCCAGCTGCCTGGACGCCTGCTCCACATTCCTCCTGTGGCGGTTTGTTCATGTACAGAATTTAGTATTATACTTAGTAAATTCCGTCTTGACGGAACGTCTATCATGTGCCAGGCACTGTTTTAAGTACACTCAATCCTCACAAGTCTATGTTATTATTCCTGTTTTATTCATGAGGAAACTCAGTACAAGTTAAGTAACTCTTCCAAGATGGGATTTGAAGCCCAGAACGTCAGAATCCAGAGTCTATGCTCTCAGCCTCCATATAAATTACTTCCCCCTGCTTCCAAGGTGCTGCCATTATTTGCTTAGGACTCCTTCTCCTGGTTTAAGTCATAACCATTTTAAGGGCCAGCAGCTTGTTTCATTCACCTCCTTCCTCTTTCACCCAGTACAGCATCTGGCACATAGTGGGCACATAGGAAAGAGCCACCATTTATCAAACACGTGTATAACACACGTGTAATATACATGTCACACACACTACCTCACATATGCATTAGGAGCCGTTACGTTCATTCGTCAGATGAAAAAACGGATGTTCAGAAAGGTTATGTGACATGTATGTGATCAGTGCCAGTTGTGCCCTAAATCTGCCTGATTTGATGGGGGCACGTGCTTAATAGTAAGAGATACTGCCCTCCTAACCACGTGAGCATTACCAGGTCCTTGGATAGAAACTCCACATGAAGACACGGAAAATACATATACTTTAAGTAAATAAAAGCTCTCTTTCACTTCTTTTGCACACAGGCATACAGACACGTATATATTCTTTATATACATGCATAAAATGCCAGTATGTGCAAAGATCAGCTCTGAAAGGCATGCATCTCCAGAATGTTGCTTTGGGAAGGAGTGGGGAGCTGATATTCAGGGAAGAGACTTGGGTTTCACTGTGCGCCTTTTTGTAGCTTGTGAATTTTGAATAACATGTAGGTATTGTCTATTCAAGAGCAAATGAACGTTTTTTAAAAAGACTGCTGTGTTTTTGGTAGAAAAGAAATCGGATCCAGGAGACCTGGACTCCAATCTCATCTTTGCCACTGGATAAATCTGAAGAATAGTCAAATTTATTTTCAGTTTCTCCATCCATAAAATGGGTAGAGGAATAACTCCCCTTTGGCCCCACAGGGCCGAATGAGATCATCAGCGCAGACGCATTCCATGAGGTGCATAGAGCCCTGCACCTGTGGTACACTGGGATGTCATAGTGGAATGTCCGGAGCACAGGCCCCTCTTCTGGAAGCCTGAGGACCTTGTGAAAACCTGCACGGCCTTGTCTGAGATGACTGGCATTTCCAAGTTAGGAAGAAGATTTAAACCCTTAGCTGACATCCATGGCCAGAGCAGCATGAAGTCCAGAATGAAATCTTCAAGCAAAGCATTCGTATTTCCCCTTCATCACCAAAACACACCCTCAGTGAGTAGTCTCTTTGCTCTCGGGGTTTAAGAAGATCCAGAGAGATGAGAAGATGGCCAGGAACAAGGCTGCCCTTCTCTGACTGGTGGAGATGAGTCCAGAGGTGATGGTAGAAGTTGTTGGTTCTTGGTGGTACTGCCCTGTTGCTGTTTTCTGCATGGTCAGAGAAAGATTCCAGGTGCAGGGAAGACACAGTGTCTGTAGTGTCCAGGGGTGGCCCACTTGGGCCCTCTCTGCCTCAGGAGATCCATGACCCCAGCTCAGTAAGCCCAGCTTCCCCCCAACCCCAGATAACAAAGCTTTCCTTACAGAATCTTCTTTTCCAAAAATAGAATTGGGGTGGGGGAGAACTCCAGGGGATTTTCTATTTTCTGAGGCATAGGAAGGACAGGACATGAGCCTGCGGGTTAGAAAATTTCCAGTCCCAAAGTCTAAGTGACCTTGGCCAGGTGTCTTCACTTCCCTGGGTCTATTTCCTCATCTGTATAAGAGGGGATTGAACTGAGTCATCTCTTTGGTTCTCTTCATACCGAAGATCGTATGTCCTAGAAACTGTGCCTTGGGTTCAGCTTACGTTGTCCCTACCCACATGCTGCCAGCCTTGTGTCTCCGACAGACGGAGACATCTGCTGTGTTTCCTCATCCCTGTCGTCAGCATCTGGAGGCCACAGAGAGGAAGGAGTCTATCTCTCCGGAGGCGTGAACACCCCAGCAGGGGACAGGGCCACCTGACGAACACCAAGGAAACCTTGAATCTCACACTTCCCCTCTGCAGTAGGACCATGGATAAGAAACAGACCATGCACACACAGGGTGTGTTCTCATGCGTGCACCTGTATATGTTCATTTGCATGTATTAGCAGGAGGGGCCAGGAAAGTGTGACTGTGTAACTGTCATGCTGAGTTGTACACATGTTCTCCTAGAAATGAGGGGAGATCACAATGGCACTGCCCCCCCTCCCCCCATGTAGCTGAAACACTACATTTGCAACAGCACTATTTCCTATAGGTGTGGGGAAGTTTCTATCATTTCAACTCCCATATGAGTTATCTTTAAGGGCTTCTGGGGTTCAGTTCAGAAGTATTATCAGCACTCAATATGGTTCCTTTGGCAAAACAAGCAAACAGTTTATACATTCTCAGCACACAACATATGTGAATTGGGACTGCCCATACTTCTCACAACTCTGCCACAGTACCCAACTCAATCACAGGCACATAATCACAATTATTGATTAATTCAATCAAAATATAGCAAGGGTTTTCATTTCATGACTCACTAAGTCTCCCTATGTGTTTGAATAGTAGGATGACCTACTCTCCCCTTGTCTTGTTTTTTAAAACGAAGTCCCACATCTGGGGAACCCCTCCCTTCTCAGGCAAACCAGGGTGTGATGATGTCTTTAAGAAGGCAGTGAATCCATTGTGGGTAGGGGCTCTGTGCTCCATTCTCCTTCCCAGGAACACAGAGGCTACTCAGGCAATTATTCCTAAGGCCCTGTCCAGAGATGCTGGCCGTGGTTGTGGGCAGCTGCTCCCGGAGAGGTGGCCAGAGGCAGGTGCAGAGGCTTCAATGCATCAGCCTCATGGATATTGCTCACAAGGGCAGACAGCTGTGGTCCACTTCCCAGTGTCGTATAAAACACAGTCTTCACGCATTTGCTTGAGTCAGTTATGTGGTCAAGGCCAGACCAGCTCTGTCTCCAGGCCTTCTGCTAGCCCGTGACTCATGCTTTTCTTGGAGCATTCACTGAACAGCCCTCGCAAGGTGCCTCCCTGCCCTTTTGCTCCTCGCACCCCTCCCCACGTGATGGGAGAAAGTAAGTGGGATATGTGGGAGGAAGCACTGGCATGTGATCAGAAGCTGTGGGTGAGTTCTTATCCTCTTCCCCAGGAAGTGAGGGGGGTGGGAAAGGCCTGTTTTATCCCAAAGATCTGGATGAGTCTGGCTAGGTCTACTCGGGAACATTAGACAGTATCTAAACAGGTGCCAGAAATAGAGGTCAAGAGTGTTGAATGCAGTGTGTGAGGACATGCTCACTGACCTGGGGCCCTGAATCCATGCGAGCCTGATCCAGCATCCTGACATGGACTAAGTGCAGTTTCTCCACCTCTGTATTATTGACATTTTAGGCCAGACAATTCTTTGCTGTAGGGTGGGACGTGCTACCCTGGGCAGTGTAGGATGCTTAGCAGCATCTCTGGTCTTGACCTACTAGATGCCGGTAGCACTGCCTCCCTTTAGGACAAAAAAAAGTATTTCAGGCATTGCCAAATATCTCCTGGGGAGAAAATCACCAGTGGTTGAAAACCTTGAAGTGAGAGCAGACCAGGCATCCCTTGTGTGTCCCAACCTCATGGAAACTTCAGTCAAAGCAACAGATTTTAATGCATGTTACATGAGAAACTAGCTCCCCAGGATGGTCATAGTTTTTGCACAGAGAAAGTACTCAGGGGCCAGGTAAGTTTGGAGAATTCTGTGTTCCATAGTACAAAGTATTGGGGAAATGCTGCCTGATATGTAAAAGATCTTTCCGCTTGTGGAGAGTCAAAATGTATTAGGATATTAGAGGTTCTAAAACATCCTACAGCAAGGAAACCGTTCAACACTGCTTTTTCATGGCCACCAAGCACGTCAGAGATTCCAACCTTAACATCTGAGCACACAAAACCACTGAGCCACTCTCAGTCCCAAATCCAAAAAACCAAGGAAGAGACCCATTGGCCTCGAGTACACTGTTTCAAGATTCCCAGACCAGTCAATAGTCTCAGGATCAGTTAACTGCCTGCCTTGCTTCTGCTGCAATCAGAGATTGTATCCCTGGTGACGGTGGAGTACGGTGGGTGTGGAGCCGCTCCCCAAAGAAGGGATGTACTAAGCAGATAAAACAATAGATGCCTAGCATAGTTCTTTAAGAGCCGTTTCCTTTAAAAGTTCTTTTTTTCCTTTGTGCTTTCTCCCTAAATGCCTAAGCAACTTCATCGTCTTGATTCCTGTTCAGATTTCATGGAAATTGGTGGCAGCATATTTAAATTGCTGCAAAAGTTACAAGGACATGAAAAAATTTCCTTTGATTCTCTAATTAAAAGATGTTGCTCCATATTTCCAGGGATTGGAGATAAGGGTCACTATGACGGGCAAAGGTGAAGTCAGCTATGAATATAGACCCAGAGTTCTTAGTGATTACATTCCAGGTAGTTATCATTTTAAAGGTTGGCTACCATGAATAGCCAGGTAAAGAGGAGTCTTCGAAAAGGTAAAGCAGCCCCAGGCAGACCAGGGCACCATGATCAGCTTACTCAATTTCTATTCTGAGCAAGGAATGCTATCACTTTAAACACTGTGTTCTGGTTGCTATGGAAACCAGATAAGTGGGTTGCCAACACAATCTTCAATCTTCCTATGAAGATTAAAGCACCTTGCTCCAAGTAGAGAGCAGATGGGAGAGGCACAGGTGTGAGACGTACTTCTTATTGCTGGGGGAGGGTTAGGCCAGGTGAAGGATGAAGGGAGACAGTTTCTAGTTCATGGGAAGAAGAGAAAATTTGTAGCCACTGGCTATTTAAATCTTAACTCTTCGCTACATCAATCAAGATAGGGGTTTAAGCCTAACTTCTAGTTCCATTTCTACCCCTAATTTTCTTGGTCAAGATTTTTAAGTGAGATTTGGTGCCAAGTTTGGAAGTCAGTTACAGAACAGAAAATGGTTGTGTTTTAGTTGGCCTGCTCCTTGTGGTTATTCTTTTCTTATATTTTTTAAATTTTAAATTTTTATTTTTGAGAGAGAGCGAGCGTGTGGGGGAGGGGGTGGGGCAGAGCGAGAGGGAGAGAATCTTAAGCAGGCTCCACGACCAGTGTAGAGCTCGACATGGGGCTCAATCTCAGGATGCTGATATCATGACCTGAGCTGAAATCAAGAGTTGGACGCTCAGCCAACTGAGCCACCCAGGCACCACCCCCTCTTCTGGTTATTCTTATAAAGTATCTCAAGCACATAAGAGTAGAAAGAATAATATGCTGCACTGTCGTGTACTGATCACACTGTTTAAAAAGAAAACATTATAGATACACTGAAACTTCCTTGTGCATTTTTGTCCCCTTCCTGGTTAATCTCATAGAAATGTCTCATGTGTGTGTCACCCCCCTCTATATGGAAATCATAGTTACTAAACTTACCATGTTTTCGGCTATAAGCAATATAAGAACATTAAATACAGACTAACTTGAGGGGCCCTCTCGGGTGAGGCTATTTGGGATTCCGGTTAGTTTTTCCTCCAACCCCAACTCTGAACAAATGTGAAAAAAAAAAAAATAGGTGTAGTCAGGGGTCAGTATGTTTGAGTGTAAATGCTGCATAGCATGACTGCATGGCCAATGCTGATTTCCTTTCCTCATTCATTCATTAAACGAAGATTTATCGAGTCCCTTTTGTGTACCAGGCATTGTGCTAGGCACTCAAGAGAAAGCAGAAAAATAATCCACTAAGCTCTGTCCACAAAGAGCTTAGTAGGGAGAGAGAGATGAATAAAATCTATAGGAAGCTAAAATGTAAATAGGGAAAAGAGCAGTTTTGAGAAGAAAGTGAAGAGGTTATATAATTATAATATAATATGTATTATATATATCAAATAATATATATAATTCAATTCCAGATAGGGTCATCCCTGATTCCCCTGAGGCTTCGCGATGAAGGTGCGTTTGTCAGAAATTTACCACATGCCTAACAACGCTGGTTTTTAGGAAGGGAAAGCACAGATTAACAATGACAGGGATGATGACCTCTACCATTTCTCTTTCAATTGAGAAACCAATAATTCTTACACTTTTCTCTCATCTTTAACCAGAGGTAACAAAATTGACTGCTTAAATATCAATTCATTATCCTGTTCTCAAGCTGAGGATTTGTAAAGCAATGCAAGTGCTCCAACTCAGGAAAACAGAGGAGACGGAGAAGCAAAGACAACCTAGGGAATCTGTGCACACCTAAGTAGGTACCACTTTTACTCGTATCTCTGTTACCCAAGTAAGTAAGAGTGCAACCAACACTGCCCTAAATCAGAGTCCCACTGTAGGAAAGCTGTTCCCTGTAGGTAATTCAAGGCTATGACCAAGCCTTGACACCTCCAAGGAGAAGAAACACTCATTCCTCAAACCTATACCACTCCAGGCTCCAACCTACAGCTCACCAACTCACAATTCCACCCTGTCTTTGGTCCCTCAGTCACTGGACAAAGAACAGGATCCTCAAGTAGGAGCTGCAAATTTCATGCAACTCAGTATTTTACTTGCTCCAACTCTGCTTCCAGACTGAAACCTTGGATACAAACAGTTGAGTTATAGCCAGTTATCCAACCCATTTCTGCAAGAGTAAATGTCTCTTTGACGCCACAGAGTTGCTAATTACTTAGTGTAATGGGAGGAGTAGGGTAAGGAGAAATACAGGAGGGATCAAGCCAGGGTCCAGAATGGAAACATCTCTGACGTTCCCAAACCCTTGCACTGCAGAAGCTCTAGCAGACCATGCTTTGGCCATGCAATCCACAAGGCTGCCTTTGACACCTATTATGCAATTAGCCACATGCCTTATTTCACACATGTAACACCAGAAGAACCCAAGCCAAGCTAAAAAAAATTAATTGAATTGCCAAGATAATTTAGAAATGTCGAAAGACCTAACAGCTTAACACATGAGCTAAATGTCTTGCCTGTATTCTCTTCTCTTTCTAAAATGAAATGTGGGGTTCTGGAGTTCTGAGCTTAGCCTTAGAACTAAGCACCTTTTATGGCAAGGCCCACTGCTTAGGATACTTCTCTTCCCTCTCTTCCCATTTTAAACACTTCTTCATTTTACTGGGTAGCCTTTGACTTTTCAGGCGTTGTGCACATTCTCTTTGGGTCAGTTAAAGAAAAATTGATTGCCCTTTGAAAAAGAACTATTGGGAATGATACAGATGGCGGTCAAAAAGGGGGAAATTCTGATACAACTGAGGAGGCTTCCCTCCCTTCTTTTTGTGATCAGCAAAAATCCATTTCATTATGAAAATTAGTGATCCTATTTTCTAACAGATAAGCCTGCTCTTCAGATTCCCTACATTTTGCTGTGACATAGTGACAAGGCACTGCTCTAGGCGAGACTCAATAAAATCCAGTCCCTGAGAAGATCAGTTCAGTCCTGGCACACTTCACATTCCAGAAGACACCTGAGGAAGGTGAGGGAAACACTGGTTTGCAACTCTGCACATTTTGTGCTAAGACACAACAAGCACAGTGAGTGGGGGGAAAAAAAAAAAAGCATGGCCTTTGATGTGGGACTAAGTCTGAATCCCAGTTCTGCCATTTACCAGCTGTGGGATTCAAAGTTACTGAAGATCTCCATGACTGTTTCATCACTTAAAAGTGAAAAATAGCATTTCCTCAGAGGTCTGTAGTGAGGATTAAATGAGTTAATATTGGGAAAGGGCTTAGAACAGTACCTGGCACAGAGTAACTACCATAAAAAGGAGAAGAAATCTATAGAGGCTTTCTCCTAAGGCCTGGATGGTCTCTGTAGACGCCTTGGCCCGGGCCACAGATTACACCAACCCTTCCAAATGGAAATTTTTACTAGTAACTTCTTCCTGCAGATTTTACAACCTCCTCTGGCAAACCCATCAAGGCCTTAAGCAATGCGATGAGCTAGACTTGTCTTTTTTTCTCTAACCCACATGTTGGGCAACTCATGAATCCCTTAAGTACCTATTCTGAAATGATAGGCTACATTTCAATAACCATTTTATTAGTTACAGAAAAATCTCCACTAGTATTTACACAGTGCAAAAAAGCTGTTACTACCCCTAAAATGTGAAATAACAATTATCCTTCAAACAACAAAAGAACAAGATGAAAATCTTTTCATGTTATAATTCACTAATTTTGCTAGTTTTTTTTATTAGAGTGTTACAATTAAGACATTAAATTATAAATTCATGTGGTATATTTAGAAATTAAATTACAAAATAACACAAATACTTTTAAGGTTGTGTTGTGCCAACAAAGTTTAAATTTTTATCATTAATTAGGATTCAGCTTTCGGATTAGGTAAACAGTTTGGCTTATTCTGTGATGTGTATAAAGGCTGGAAGGGGCAAGGGAGGAGGAAGATGTCTAAATAAATTATGTCACAGAAAAATTTTAAAAGCAAAAAAATGATTACATTTTTAAATGGAATAAGTTAATTTTAACCTGTTGGCACAACGTACAGAAAATACTTAAATGACAGGTTTTTTCTTTTTGTTTTTAAAGCAAACAGCAGCTTTACAAGTAGTAATACTTCTTTATACATATATTAAAGTAACAATGTGTTAAGATTTAACAGTATTATGTTAAAGAGTTGGAAAATGAATGTAGAGTTCACTACTCATTTGCACATTACAATCCCCACCCCACCCACCTCCCCCAGCTTATTAAGAAATCAGACAAGTACATTATTTGGATATTAATTTTTCAATATTTAAACTATGTGAATTCCTTTTGACTAATTCTTTTCCAAATACTGGAAGCATATAAAATACCCTCTCTGCAAAAATGACCTCCAATCAAAGCCTTTAAAAACTTTTCAATGTATAACACACATTATTTTTCCCATGTTTAGTCAAAAGAAATATATTACATCATTTACAAACATATTTAAACCAAAAATTAAGCTAGTATGAACATTTGTCTTTTGAGAAGTAATCTTCACAGCAAACAAACCTACTGAAGCAGAAATCTAGTTCTGGGAGTGCAATTCATATTATAATTCATATACTTATATACTGAAATAGAAATCTAATATTAATTATTGCCATAAAACAACCTCTACACACTAAGAAAAAAAAAATCACTATGGTTTTTATTTCTTGTGAGAATGAACCCCTACGCTTACCATTATGTCTCCGAAGAGCCACCCACTCCCAGTTCCAAACAAAAAACCAAAAAACAAAAAACCAAAAAACAAAAAACCACTTTCCCAATTTTCACACCTCCTCCTGTATAGAATATACAAATTTCAGGATTTATCTAGAGGAAACAAATCGTAAAGACATATTAATACTTATTTAAGCATACTTTCGACGCAGTAGCATTTCCTTTCACAAATTTTGGTAGTCCTCTAGAGTGACCTGTCTCATATAGAAAAGGCTGTGGTCCCTTGGGTTTGCTGGCAGAAGAGCCTGTACATGCAAGAGCGTTTATCAAACACATAATCGAACACTTCTGAAGTCTATGGTAAATTTAAAAGTTACTGGTGTTCTGATTTCCTCAACTTCTCTTTTGATACAAATGTCAAAAATGTAAAATGACAATTCTCATTCAGAAGAGATATAAAATATAAGAAACCTGTGAAAACCCAACCCCTCGAGATCAAGAGTTATCTGAATCACTGACACCAAGCAAAGGAAATTTACACCATAAAAAGTATGAAAAGTTTTTAAATTTACTTTTAAGATTGTCAGTAGTTCAAAAGCTCTATCATTTCCTTAAACCGACTAACACTTCCAAATGTGTAGACACAGTAAGGTCTGCCACATCTACATCCATGATTACTATTTCAGAGGCTTCATTCCTTACATGCTGCGTTCCTTTAAGTACTAGACTAAATATGTTGTGCCTAAGAAGTCTATACTGGAGAACAGTTTAGACAGGACAGGACAATAATGTCCCCTTTTAGCACACTAATGAAGTTGATAGACTGACATTTTCTATACAGCACTGCTCCTAAACTTTCACAATGCACAAGTAACTAAATTATCACCCAAGCATCTCATCTCTCCAGTATTAAATGCCAACATTATAATACATCAAAACTAGTACAGTAGTCCCAATGAGTTCAGTAAAAAAATCCTGCCCAATTCTTCTCTCCTGCCTCTGTGAGGCAAAGCCCTGTCCCATCAAACCAGAGCAGGGAAAGCACCCTTCCCTCCTCAGTTCTGTGCCTGCCTGTGGGAGCTCCTGAGTGTAAGGCTGGAGCTTGTGTGCACGGTGGGGGTGGGGGTGGGGAGGTGGAGGTGGTTGACTGGAGGCTGAGTGTGGGGAGGAAGCTGGAGGGATGAGAGAAAAATAGGTCATCTGTAATTCTCCCAACATTTCATAAACTTGTTGATGTCACTATCAGGTGATTGACCAGCAAATAAAACTTTTAGCTCAGTAAGTTTAAATTCTCCCAAGCAGGTATACACATTCTTAGAGAAGGGCAGAGATAGATAATAGTGATCAAGAAGTAATACCTGCCTAGCTAATACCTGTGTACTCTAAATCATATAATAGTTTCAGCACAATTAGAACAACTTTCTCGCTTCTTCAAAACTTCCTTTTCCAGCCTTTTGATTATCAGGATACACATTATAAGTTGTGTAAAGTTCCTATCCCTGACCTATCAGTAACTATGGTTGGTATTATGTGGCAGGTGCTCAAGGCTATGGACAAAATAGGTATTTTTTTTTTTTTTTAAAGATGAAATGGTTTTTCACTCAGGACAAGCTTGGATACCTAATCAAATCCAGACAGCAAATCCAGAGGGTCCCAAATCAAAAACATGCAAGAGAACACACCAGTATAAGACTCTGTTTCGGAATAGTTTACACATAAGTGCTGCAGTCATATAATTGGTCACAGTTACTCACCTGCCACAATAGGCCTAACTGTAAGTAAATACGAGTATGTACAAGAGCATTCCTGAGGTAAGTAAGAAGTCAGTATGAGACAGAACCTGTTAGGTCCTATCATGGGTGACTCTCCCCTATTAAAGACAACATCTCTAAATTCCCACAAGTAAGGCCAGCTCCAGTGCCCTGTGGTGGCTCCTTTGCTAGTCTAACTTTTGAGCCTCTGTTTTAGCCCATCCCAACTTCCATCCATTACAATGATCAATGGCTTCTGAAATAAACATCTGTGGACCAAAGAAAAGTCGCATCAATTCTTAATACAAGACATTTGTGGGCTTGGTTACCCTTTAGCCTTTTTTTCAGTTTTCCAAATCCAGTTCTTCTTTAAAGAAGCCCAAATGACTTTTGATCAAATTAGAGTGAAGGAGGCATAGTCTTGAAGCAAACATTGGTAACTGCTCCTATTCTTAGAGCCTTGATCGTTGACTTTCAAAATGACTCTAAATAGGCATCTGAAAATTATTTTCTTTTTTAAAACCTAGTCTTCTTCTATCTTAATCATTATTTCCCGTAACAAAATAAGCTCAAACACTTCTGAATTTCCACACAGCTCTTAGAAAGACACTTAGATGCTAATTAAAAGCTAAGCTACAGATTATAGTAAAACAAGTAAAAGACAGCTACAAAAATATCTGTCAGAAATTAAATACATATATTAAATACTGGACAGTGCAAAACGCTGAGATGAAGCATAAAAGAGAATGGCTGCAACCCTCACACAGTTGGGAGACAGACAGTGGGCATTTCCTGAGTTACAGACCTGGGGGCGGATAACTAAGATCAGAGGGCTCGTTGTTCACTGAGCTGCAGCTGCTAGGCTTCTGTTGCTCCTGACTTGCCTGGTGGTCAGTAGTCCAGGCCTCCCCATCTATCCCTGGTTCTAGCACTTCGGGTGCCTCTGCCTCCTCTTCTCCACTCTGCTCTGCATGGTCTTCCTCAGAACCATTAAGGGTTTTTCCAAGCTGGAGAGTCTCCATTGTTCTCTGGGTTTCAGAGACCCACGACTCAATTCTACTATTGAGCTGTACTTCTACAGATATAGGTTCATGAGTATAATCTTCCTCCTCTTCCTCATCTTCATCATCCTCTTCTTCCAGCATGCCGGGGACAAGGGTGCTGGTGGTGCTGGTGATGGAGGAATTCAAGAGATCTCGGCAACTGCCATCCAAAGAACCAGTCTCTGTACTCTGCTGGGAGGCCCATTCCAGGTCATCTGGCTTCACTTCCTCTTTATCGCTCACTGTTGACCTCCCAGGGTTTGTAGCTGAGGTAGTACTGCCTGCAGCCGGGAGTGACGGCTGCCTACCAACAGGGGCTGCATCCAAGGGAAGTTTACTGGGCTTTTCTGATGCGCTATGCTTACTGGAAACCTCTCTCTCATTTTCTGATGTTTCCAGCCCATCTGAGGTTTCCACCATGTTTCTCCAATTTGTTTCTGCAAATACCAAACAGATTTTTAAAAAACCAGAACAGTTTCAGAATCACAACTCTTAAAAGAAGGAAGAACAAACTAGCAGAAATCTGTTGGCTCACCAACTGGTTGGAAAAACTAAGTTTATTCTAGTACTGTTGTAAGCATTACAAAAGGAAAACAACTCTCAAAAATGTGCATTTAAGATAAAGAAACAAGGAGGCAAAAGTAAGTGTATTTATGTCTCAGAATGCACAAGATCTTATAACAACAGGAGCTCATTAATGCTTCTACATAAAATCCATATATTCATGAGAACCAATGAATTTTTTTTTGTTGTTTTTTGTTTTTGTTTTTGTTTTTGCCTAGAGGTGTACTGGCCCCAAGGATCCACAAGTCACAGATGACAGACCCAAGATGTCCAGCAGAAATAGTTCTAATTTGACATGTTTGTGTCATGCTCCCACAGCAAGTTACCTGAGAACTATCTTAGGCTGTAATGGGACTTGTTTCCATTTATAATAAGCAAAGAAGCCATCCATGCATTTCAAATATTTGTGAAAATCTGTTTTATACTATATGTAGCTGGGCTCACCAACTGAATTTGGTAGCCAAAAAAAGAAGTTATTATATAATAATATATAATATATAATATATTATATAATAATATATATTATATAATACAGTGGTGATAATCTAAATTATTTTTAATGACAGGAAGTCAGTTTAAGACAAAAAAAAACATACTAAGATTATGAGGAGATGAAGGACAGCTCTCCTATCCCTCACTTCTCCTGTGCTTTTCTTTCATTTTTCATTTTTTTATTATTAAGGTATAATGGACATATGACATTAGTTTCAGGTGTACGACATAATGAATTGGTATTTGTATATATTACAAAATGATTGCCTTAATAAATCAAGTTAACATCTGTCAGCATACAGTTAATAAGAATTTTTTTCTTCTGATGAGGATTTATGATCTACTCCACAGCAATTTTCAAATATGCAATACAGTATTATTAATTATAGTTGTCATGTTATACATTATATCCCCATGACTTATTTATTTTATAACAGCAAGTCTCTACCTCTTGACACCCTTCGCCCATTTCACCCACTCCCCAAGACTCTGGCAACACACATGCACAATGTCTTCTTTATCCATTCATCCATTTGAGGGACACGTAGGTTGTTTCTATAACTTGGCTACTGTGAATGATGACGAAATGAATGTGGGAGTAGAGATATCTCTTTGAGATGATAATTTCACTTCCTGTGGGCATATAACCAGAAGATGGATTCCTGGATCATATGGTATTTCTATTTTTAATTTTTTGAGGACCCTCCATACTGTTTTCTGTAGTGGCTGCACAAATTTACACCATCAGAGTGTATAAGGATTTCATTTTCGCTATATCCTTGCTAACATTTATTTTTTGTCTTTTTGATAATAGCCATTTTAACAGCTGTCAGGTGTTATACCTTGTTGTAGTTTCAATCTGCATATTTCCCTAAAGATCAGTGATGTTGAACACCTTTTTATATTGGCCATCTATATGTCTTCTTTGGAAAAAATGTCTATCCAGATCCTCTGCTCACTTTTTAGCTGGATTGTTGGTTTTCTGCTATTTGGTTGTATGACTTCTTTATCTATTTTGGATATTAACTCCTTATCAGATAGATGATTTGCAAATATTTTCTCCCATTCAGTAGGTTGCTTTTTCATTTTGTTGATTCCCTCTGCTGTGCAGAAGCTTTTTAGTTTGATGTAGTCCTATTTATTTATTTTCGCCTTTAAAAAAAAATGCCCCCTTCTATTTGCATTATAGCTGCTATCCGCAGTTTGTAAATATGTTGATCAAGCTGTAGTGATAAAGGAAGTCTACTCACATTAATGTATCAACTTGAACATCGCCTATCAACTATTCACTGATAAAAACCGTATTTTGGGCACTTTAAGTCAGGGCACATGGTTTGGAAAAAAACATTTCCTTCCTGCAGTTACTTCAAGTTTGAAGTAAGTTGTTTCCAGTCTCTCTCCTACCTCATGAAAACAAACTAACTCCTCCTCCTCCTATATTTTCATTCTTAATTAATAACATTATCATTTCCATAGTCTCAAAACAGAAGGAAACTTATTGTAATCCTTGACCCTATCTTCCTCCCTTACTTTATTCCACTGAACTTATATGTCACTTCTAGCTCAAAAACTACTAAATTTGGTTACTACTGTCTTAGCCCAAGCCTTCCTTATCTTGCTATACACATACATATATTCCTAAGTGGTTTGGCGAATTGGTCACATGACTGTCTTAATGGGTTTTCTATTACCCTAGGACAAGATCTAAACACCTTAGCTTGGCATAGCCAAAGCCCTCTGTGATCTGACCCTCACCTAACTTTCCCACCCCATTCATTACAACCCCTAGCCATGCACTCTATGCTTGGGATCACTCTGCCTTCTCACTGCTCCCAGAAGTCATAAACTTTCTATTTACAATTCCTTGCCTTGTGTAAGCTGTTCTTTCCATAAGAGATTTGTTTTCCTCCTTTACCTTTCAGACTCTCACCCATCCTTGATAACCATTCCTAAAGGTCAATTCCGTATGAAGTCTTTCCTGACTTTCCACTAACTTGAATTCCCATAGCACTTTTTGCATATATGGTTCAAAAGCACTAGTTTTGTGTTTGCTGTGCTGCCCCTTCCTCCCTCCTTACCCTTGTTCCTGCTCATCTGTGTCCCTATGGTTGGCAAAGAGTAAGTACTGAAGGCAAAAAAGCCTATTAAATTAAAAATACCACACATATATTTAATGATGCCCCCCAAAAAACTTTAAAAGGGCATTAAAATTTTTTTTTTAATTTTAGATGCACATTTATACTTCCTTCTAACCTTTTTTTTTTTTTAAATTTTTTAAAGATTTTATTAATTTGACAGAGAGAGACACAGTGAGAGAGGGAACACAAGCATGGGGAGCAGGATAGAGAGAAGCAGGCTTCACCCCGAGCAGGAAGCCCGATCCGGGGCTTGATCCCAGGACCCCAGGACCATGACTCGAGCCAAAGACAGACGCTTAATGACAGCCAACCAGGCACCCCTCCTTCCAATAGTTTTTATCCTCCTTCAAAAATGTAAGAATCCACTTGGGGTCCTGGAAAAAGTTTCACCTCCCCCTTCTCAATGAATCAAGGAATAGGAGAGAGGAAGGAGGTCAGACTAGGTCAGGCCGATCTTTCTCCAGAATCAACCTTGGGCCTTCATCTAGTTGGGTAGGTGAGCTGAAAGCCCACATGGGTCTTGGGATAGGAAAGGGAGCTATGACTTTAAAAGCAGAGGCAAAGGACTCTATTAGCCATCAAAAGACTTGTCACAACAATCAAAAAGCCACCACTCAACGTATCTACCAGGGAGGGAGGGTTTAGGCTCCCACTTTAAAGTAACAAATGAAGCTTAATAACAGCTGATAAGCACACAAACACAGGCAGACAACATGGAGAAATACAAGAGTATGAGAGTGCCATCTTTCTCTAGGGGACAGGAGAAATCTGGGATGGGGAGGAGGACAGTCTAAATCCAGAACAGAACCTCTATAGAAGTCCACTTCTGATAGAGGAACGAGGAAGCATGTTATTAAAGGAAGAACCAAAGCTCTCAACAAGCCTAGAAATGGTACTGATCCAAACATACTCTGCTTCTGAACTATTTATTGTAGCATAACTTATTCAATAGAGCTCTTCTTTGCTTATTAATCCCTTCTACACTTTCCTGTTGTTTCTTGGGTCTTAGTGAAAATGTCTTTTAAACTTTCAAATCACTAGAGGATTTGTTGGAGGATGAGGTGTGTGTATTTCTCCTTTCAGTCAGTACACACAAGGAAGCTGTCCATCTTTAGTTATCAGAACAAGCAAATCAGTTCAAGAAACTACAGAAGAAACCAGTGGCAGAGAAAGCAGAGAAGTCAGGAATGAGCAGAAAATTCAGAAAATTCAGGCACACCTACGGTATAATATTTCTTATCTGCTGCTCACACAACTGAATTTATTAATAAACATGAAATGCTTAGAGAAGTGCCTACCACAGAGCAAGGATTCAGTGAGATACTATCATCATGTATCAAGTGCCCATTATGTGCCAAGTTCCTATCTCAAAGAACTTACAACTTAGTTGGGATTTATGCTCAAAACTATTTGTTTCATGTAATAAGTATGACAGAACTGAGACTCAGCATAGGTGGAAGGAAAACATAAGCAAAGAAAACAAGGGGTATACAAAAGACAGTAAGACTGGACTATCATAGGAGGTTTTCTATTCTACCAATGATGAGCATTTTTTCCCCAGCTTTTTTTTCTCTTTAAACTATGGGGAAAAAACATTTTAGAAATCCTGTATCAGGATGACATGGAAGATGTTGTTTGTTTTCTACCCAACGGTCATTCCCCATTTCCTTCCTGGATAACAGAACCCCCAAACTTGGGATGAACTTGGGCCCAGTCCTAGAGGATGAATTAAAATAGTTCTTAGACTATCGCAGTTATCACATTCCCTTGCCCATCTCCCTTGCAGCTAAAAGGAGTCACAAGATCAGTTCTGGCCAAATGAAACAAAAGGAGAAGTCTTCTGAAAATGGTTTCCTTCACTGACAAAAGCAACTCACTGCCTGTACCTCCTGCTTTTGACTACTAATGCCAGAGCCACAGCAGCTACTTATGAACATGAGATGATAAGCACAAGAATAAAAAGCCACAGACTGCGAATGGGAGAACAGAAAGAAGGAAAGAGCTAGGGACTTTGAGGATATTGTGAAATAATTAAATATCCTGATTTCTTTAGGCCACATTAGTGGTTTTATGTTTGTTGCTAAATCCAATACAGAAAGAATCCAATACAGAAAGAATAACTTCATGCTTCCTTCTCAATGTTATCTGTGATTCCTTCCACTCATTTTGTTGGTGTCCTCATACATGAGTTCATCAAGTCAGAGTCTTTAAGATTCTATCTAAAACCCTCCTTAAGGATTCAACCATTAGCTCTACACAGATTTAAAAAAAGGGGGGCGCGCAAAATGGTATCACTTAGAATTGAGTTCCCAAACTGGAGCTTAATTCCCAATCCAACTGCAGTTTCAACCTCCCCTAGAAATGTGGCCTTAACTGGTCAGTCAGGAAATTTTTCTTTTCATCAGGACCAATGAGTCTGTCACTTGGGTCCTCTCCATCCTCCAAAGAAAGATGAGGTAATCTGCATAAGACCCCTTGCTTTTTCTACTAGTGAAGTCTCCTCTGGAACAATCTTCTTCTTTTCCTAATAGCTTTCTTGCCCACCATGCCCCACCAAAACCTTCCACTTGGTAAAATTCTTCAGAGTGCTTATCTACTTGCTAGACGGTGGCTGCCCAATTCATGAATCATTTAATAAAGCTAACTAGATCATCAAAAACACTTGGCTGAATTTTTGTTATTTAACAGCTCACAGAATTTTAGCTTTGAGTGAAACCTTATAGATGACCTAGTGAACCCTCCCCATTTCACTAAAGAGAAATCTGAGGCCCAGAAATTAATAAATTATTTCTCAGTCCTCCACAAAGAGTATGAAAAAGTTAAGGCTCCAATCTTTGAACACTTTAAAATTTGGTGCTTTTTAAAAACATCTCCTAAGTCTTTGAAAGGTTCTTTTCATAACTTTTCTTTTCATGTGCACAAATGAAGATCATGGTCATCTGCTCAAACCTACAGCTTTATGAATTTACCTTGAAGTTTGCTTTTGAGATCTGCATATCATTATACAGACAGAACTGATCTCATTTACAAAGTTGGCACTTTATCTGCTTTATTTTCAACTAGTGGCACTTCAGGCAAAGAAACATGTCTGCCTCTAAGCCAATAATACTTATCCTTGGTCTGCAGTTTCCCAAAGTCCTACAGTTACTTGTTCATTTTCTCTGGCCTAGAGCTTTGTCAAAAGCATTTCAAACATTTAACCACAATCATAGATAGGGAGACTAGGAAAGACAGTGTGAGGGAAAATATGAGGACTCATTTTTTTACAGGTTAAATTTTAGGTGGCAACATGCTATTCAATAAATTCCCACATAGATTTAAAAAAAAAAAAAAGAAGAAGAAGAAGAAGAAGAAACAGGAGCCAAGTTGAGCAGGTGACTATCCTAAAATGGGGAAATGAACCAGAAACTACATCATGAAAAGCAGAGAACTTAAGAGTTCAAAGTACTGTAGAAAAAAGGCAGAGAAACCTCTAAGACATAGACTGCAGTAAATAACGTTATTTTAAACATTATACATGTTGAAAAGAAAACCACAGTCCCCAAACAGGACCAGAGGCCAAGTCACCAAACCAGAGCTTAAGATGTAACCTAAAAGCAGTTTCAACCTCCCCCAGAAATGTAAGTTTGAAGAGTTTTCTGCTCAGCGCCAAGGCGGTAATCTGTCACAAGGGCCCTTTCCACACCCAACGGGAAGTTGAGACAATTCACTAGTAAGACCCCTTGCCTGTCCCCCCAAAGGAAGGTGACCTGGCCAGGAACAATCCTTTCTTTTCTTTTGCTAATAATTTCCTTGTACCTATATAAGCCTTCCATTTTGTGCAATTCCTCAGAGCTGCCCTCTACTTGCTAGATGGGATGTTGCCTGGTGCATAAAGCACCTTCGAAAGCCAATTAGATCTTCAAATTTATTCAGGTGAATTTTTGTTCTTTAACACACACAAATGCTGGGTTTTAGTCTGTTTCTTTTTGACTACCATCAAACTTAGCGTAAATGTTGTATGTCTAGACTTTATAAGCTTATATTCCATAACATTCAGGTCTTCTGTTTACTTAATATATCAAAACTTCAATAACTCAGTATAAGGCATCAGAACAAAACTTCCTAGAATTTACTTAGTTATAGGTCACAAGTATGGTACCTTTTGCTTTTTAAATCTTTTTGGGCATTCTGGAAATGTGACTAAATTACAGGGTCTCATAGCAAGTCTCAGCTCCAAACAGTCTCCTAATTTTTAATGGATATGCTTCGTGTAATTTTTCAAACCAAAATTCTGACCAAAATGTGAATAATCAATGAGATAAAAAACAAAAGATAGCATGAAAATAATTTCCAAAATGATTTTAATCACTTAAATGATTTCCGTATTTAAATCATCTGCTATATACCATATATACCAACTTACCATATTCCTTTTCATTTACTTCAGAAATAGGTTCAGAAATGACACTGCAGAAAGAAATGGCGCTTGCTGCAGAGGGGTTCCGAGAATGCCCCATGTGGTGTGGTACCTTTTTCACATTCTTCAAGGCTTCCTCGGCCTGCTCTTGCTCCATTGCTGCAACCATATCTTTATATGCTTTCCTGGCTTCCTCAGTGAGCTCTACTAACTTATTAAACAGGCTCTAAAAAGAAATTTTGATTAGTCAGTTTTTTTGCTATACTTTTTATTCCTACAATTAACAATAAATGTCTCTATGGTTTCAGGATCAGACACACTTTCAATCAGCACAAAATCCAAATGGTATGCACACTGCAGAACTTTATAAAATACTCTATAACTTATAGATATTGTTCTGTAATTCTCACAAGTCTGAGGAAATTTCTTGATTCAATACTAGTCATTAACTGTGATACACTAAAAGTTCTTGCAAAGTTTATCAATTCAACAACTGCACTCTTCAGTCTCTGGCACTACAGTGAGTACAAAGACCACTGGAACACCATCTCCTCATAAGGAAACTTCCATGTGGCTGAAAGACAGGAGACACCAGTGATTCAAGGTACCTCATGTTAAATGCCTTGAGATGTACAAAAAGTTTTCGCTTTTGGAAGAAACATTACCTCTCATACAGGCCTTGAAAAATAGGTACAATTTTGAAGGGTGGAGATTCTGCATTCTTAGCCAAACAGGTATAGACTTAAGAAAGTATAAGACTTGTCTGGGGAGCAGTGAAGAATCTTATATGGATTAGAATATAAGAGAATGAGTGTACGCAGTGTGATGTTGAAGGATATAGCAGAAGATGGCAGTCTCCACAATAATTAAAAGTTCCCTGCATGTGTGCTTATTGGAAGAGCTTGAAGAAGATCAAAAGAAGTAAGTAATGGTGTGGCTAGCTGAGACCTTGATGATGAAAATATGACACTTTTAAGGACAAGCCAAAGATATTGGAACAAATGCAAATTACAAAAATAGAATAAAGAGCCTGAAGTAGAATGTGGAGCTAAATAATCAGAAGTTCTTCATCACTGAAAGAAAAATGAACATGAACGGTAATTAATAATTCCAACAGAATGGTGGGTGATGGACTATACACGTGTTAATAAAACGGCAAAATTCACAGTTCTGAAGCTGAACTTCGACAATTATGACACCAAAAAAAAAAAAAAACTCCAAAGAAAACTGAAGTTTCCATGCCACTAGAAAGGACAATCAAATAATAATTTTTTGTGATTCTTATATCATAATCAAACAACCTTCTACTTCTGTTTAATGTCTTGATTTAGTATCACAATGCAACACACCACACATTACATAAAAAATGTCAGATCTGAACATTCCTAAGAATACATTTAATATTATATATTAAATTACGCTTTCAGACAATGGAGAAAAGTACAGTATAATTTTTCTCCTCCTACCAAGGCATTGTCATTTAAGTTTAAACCATAACTGGATGAAAGCATGGCAAAAAGTGCCATATTGCTATGTAATAATATTTCCCTGAAAACTAAACTTCAGAAGGAAAAACCTAAGTAGCATGCTTTTACCCAGCTTCAGTTTGAACTGTTTAAGGTACTACGTACAATAAATGCTGTTGCCAACTGCAATGATTTTAAGCATGTTAACTACTAGTAGTAGCAAAATATACTCAGGATTTACTTACTTTTAAAAAGAAGGAATAATGAATTCTGGTAAAAACAGCTCCTGTGTGTTACATGTAACAGACTTCCTAAATAGTTATTTGCAATGTTTAACAAACTATGCATTTAAGTGAAGCCAACAAAAAGAAAATGGGCATATGGATGTGTGATATTGAGATTAACATTCATTTTAAAATATAAATAAATAGTTGGGAATAAAAAATTAAGAAAGAAGAGGAAAAAAATTTAAGAGAAAAGCTATCGGGGAATAAAAACCCTGAATGTCAGGGTAAGGAGAGAAAGTTCAATTCAAAGGTTAGTTTCAGCATATGGTAAAAATAACTCAGGTGTACTACCACATTATTGCAAATGCGTAAACACTTGATAATATACCACTATTTCCTTTAGCACATTTGAAGAGTATATTTTGGTTTAAACAATAACTTACCTATCTCAAAATAGTAAAGGACAAGTAAAACAATGTACAAACAAAACTGGCAAGCATTTTATAAGGCCACACAAATAACCTAGTATATATATAATTCAGTGAGAAGTCAATACAATGAAAAACGGGTCCACTTTTCCTGACCTCAATCTCACTCCTAGTCTATCAACTAACAGTGAACAAAAAAGGAGTACATTTTTATTAGGTGTCTTTATATGGGACCCTTTTCCCCACAGAGGGACTTATCACCCAAATTGTCACATACATTTTTTTTTTTTAAGATTTTATTTATTTATTTGACAGAGAGAGAGATCACAAGTAGGCAGAGAGGCAGGCAGAGAGAGGAGGAAGCAGGCTCACCACTGAGCAGAGAGCCTGATGCGGGGCTTGATCCCAGGACCCTGAGATCATGACCTGAGCCGAAGGCAGAGGCTTAACCCACTGAGCCACCCAGGTGCCCCTGTCACATACATTTTAACATAGCAAGCAGGTATACACATACCACACAATTTACTGAACAAACATTTATCACCCGCTCAAGCTCAAGTGATATGAAAGGTGTCAGGGACACATAGATAAGAGGCCTGCCCTCAAGGAATTCATAGTTAAAGGGAAAGAAACACATAATCTACAGCAAGGCAGCATGATACCTGTAAGTGAGAAAAGCATAGGCTACTGTGGGAGCAGAAATATTGAGTAACTTCATGGGTAGTGGGAGAGAAACTGAAAGGACAGGGAAATGGGGGTATGCAAATATGGTGACTGGATAAGAAAGGACACATGCTTAAATAAATAAAAACAGTATGGCTGGGAAGAGGGAAAATGGTCCATGAATGGTGTTAGAAAATACTTCAGAGTCAACTTCATAAAAGACTCTTAAAATGTTATCAGTTACTAATTATTACATATGGAGATAAATAACTTTTATTCTAATTGTTAATTACCAACATATTATTATTATTACTACTTATTATCATCAGCTCCTATGGGCAAAGCTTTGTATTAGCAGACCAAGGAAGGAAGATAAAGGTATCATGAGTGCAGAATTACTTTGATAACTGGTTAGGAATTCCATTTTTAAAAGAAAATCCTAATTAAAGGATCTTTTTCTCTCTTGACTTTAAGTAACACAAAATATAGCCAGCATGTACACTGAAGAAAATTATTTTATATAATATTGAATATCTTTACCCAACAGCTAAATAAATTATCATGTATTACAAAAGAAGAAAAAAGCACTGTGGGAAAAACAGGAACTAAAATCTTTACAGCCAAAATGCTGCAGGATTAACTTGTGTAAATGTTTTTAGCACTAAAAAAAGGAAATGTAATACTCAAAAATTTTCCACTCATTCTTGGGAGAGTCACCTCACTTCTTCAAATGCTTAAAAAGAACACTGGCATGTGTTAACAGAAAATGGTGTTGGGGGGTTGGTGAGGACAAGAGGGAGTGAGGAAGTGTATCCTCTAAAGTCTTACCTCAGCACCAAAGTAGTTGAAGATTCCCACTACACTAACAGGAACCAGCTTGTTCACACAGCGTCCTAGAGCTTTTCTTCCAAGGGCAAACACAAAAGGAATTTCTTGTTCTCGTGCCATGGCTATAACATTATACAGAGCCTCATCCAGGCCACCTGAGAAAGTCAACACATGCTGAAGTCTTAATTTCCTTACATAAATGGAGGTATTTCAGCATCTAACAGCTGAAGTGTAAAATACAGCAGCAAAGGATTCTATGAATGCTTGTGGCACTTTCACTATTCCAACTAGTTTCCTATTGAAATTTATGATATATGGATATATATATATATATATATATATATATATATACACACACATACGTATTTTCTTTCTTCCCAATAAATTTTAAAATTATTCAATGCCAGTTTTTGTCTCTCCATAGGGATTGGTATAGTGGGAGTCAAATTTCCATTTGGAAATTTCCATTTCCATCCATTAAAAAAGAAATTACAATTGTTAGTAACGACTGATGTCTTTATTCTTTCAGCTCAACTGTCAATAAGACAGAAATATATATTACTATTTTTATTGGTATTTCTCCCCTGTGGATAATATGCCTATGACTGCTACCTCTGCATCCATCTACTCCAATTACCCAAAGTGGCTCATCCATGAAAACAGACAACTCAGGGTGCATGACCCAGCGCAGGTTCACACAAGAGCCTCTACATGGGGCTGCTTATTTTTTGAAACAAATCAACATAAGAAGGAGCAGACAACTTTATCTTTTCTGTAATTCTATTTAAGGGAAAAGGACCATCAAGGTACATAATATAAAAATTTTTAAAGGAGAAATATATTTGCAGCAATAAAGGAATGTACTCTTATAAGTCCTCACTCTGATTACAACAGAAGACACACTTGGTTGAGCCAACTTAAATGCTTCACTAGTGTTCATAGACTAGGATTTCTTTACAGTCCAATCTCAATATTATTACTTAATTTGAGGTACTGAAAGATTTCACTTTCTTTCCCCATGATCAACATTGTTCTATACCTAAACTCTGCAAAGAAAGACATATGGCTTTCATTTTAAAATTCATTGTATATCCTACAATTATACTAAATAAATACCAAAACACTTCAAAAGTTCATACCTTTCGACTGGATTTTTTCACAGTTTGGAGAAATTATAACACACTTGATCTTATTTAACTTCATATGTTTAGTAACCTCCCTCAGGCCCATAACCAGTCGTCTCCTTGCTTTTGCTCTCACAGGATCTTTTTGGTAGATACGTTCCTGAAAACTGACGAGCTCTTGAAGAAGAAGAGTCACACATTCATCAATCTCTTTACAAAGAACCTGATTGCAATACCTGTAAAGGAAGCACAAAATAGGTAAGTCCATCCTAATTTACTTTCCTGTAATTATAAGATTATGTTAGGAAAAAAAATATCCAATAAGAGGTTTTCATTGAAAAATCAACTCTTTAAAATCTCTTAAATTCTACTGCAAATTAGAAAAAGAGAAGAGTTTTCCTGAATTGTAACAAACTGGCTTTTATGGAAAGGTTGGATTATCCTCAGGTATGTACTATCCAAACTCCCAATTATTAAATTATTAAGGCTATAAATCAAATGTTAACTTGTTATTTGATAAAAAAGAGATATAATGTTTCTGGTAAGAAGATACAAAGTAATTCCATGCCAGTAAATACCATAATTTCTGGGAAACATAATATCCCAGAAGCTAACTGAATGCTCTCATAACAACCAAGTCATCCTCCACACTCTGATAAATCACAATCTCTAGGAATTGGCTTCTTCGACCATAAAAATAAGGAGTTAGATAAGATGGCCTCAAGAGTTCCCCTAATGGCCTCAAGAGTTCCCCTAAGTCTGAAAATCTATGGCTGTGGAGCATGAACTCAGTAATTAAATTGAAGCCAAAATCAAAGAAACCTTGAGGTAAAAGTCACATGCCCTTATAGCAAGCAAAGCAACTGAATGAGGCCCTTTGTGAGATTATGTATGGCTATAATTTGAGCAACAGAGAGGCAGTGAGTGAGGCCCCTATAGTACTTACCTGCAGGGATAAGGAAGTAATTCAAGTTTACTTACTCCCTATATATTCTATTTCTCAAGTTCTCATCCTTAACCTCTACTATAAACAGGTACTATTGGTGTAACTTCTAATCTAAGACTAACCAGGCAAGTAAACTTCCACTTTTGAATTATATTATGCAGTAGAAAAATACGGGACTGCCCTTTAGTGGAAAAAAATTGTTTTGGGAAATTTTTTTCTTTATGTGAAAAATGTTTAAGTAAGTAGTGCTTAAATAAATAAATAAAGTCTGACACTACTTAAGAAGATATAGACTGAGAAAAATTATCAAAGTTTGCAAAATAAAAGAATGCACTTAGAAAACAGAACATCAAAAATGCAGTTTTCTTCATTCTGCTTTTCTTTCAAGCTATTTACTTCATACATATGCAACATTTTACTCCCCAAGTGTTTCCTTTGCTCCACATCTATTATTTGACATTTAATTAACTTTCCAAATCCAGACAAAAAGAATTAGCTCAAAAACAACAGTATAAAGAAGAGGATCAAGATGGCAGAACAGGAAGATCCCAAGCTCATCTCCTCCCACAGACAAAAATAGCAAAAACAGCTTTTCCACAACTCAAGATAGAAAAAAGACAGGAATGGCAGAAAAGGGCTCTAGTCAGGACCCACATCTCCTGCTCAGTGATTCCTAGACAGGAGGGATATCACAAACACAGAGGCCATCCTTCCTAAGGAGCAAAAGATTCAAGCTCTGTATCAAGTGTGCCCACCCTGGGTACCTGTATCAGGAAGATGAGACCCCATAACCACTGGCTTTGAAAATCTATGGGGCTTAACTCCAGGAGAGCCAGAGGGCTAAAGGAAGCTGAGACTCTAATCTTAAAGGGCACAGGCACAAACTCACTGGCTCTGAGACCCAACACAGAGGCAGCATTTTGAAAAGCGCCTGGGCCACACGTGAAGATTTGCTAACTCTAGGACATGTACAGGAGAGGCAGGGATCTATGGGAACATTTTCCTGGAAAAGAAAAACTCCCATTCCACCACACTCAGCAAGTGACCCTGAGTGGGATCAGCAGCCCTACAAAGCAGCTATTGCCCTGCCATGCAACAGGGAGCTTCAGTCTGGCACCTCCCAAAGCAGCTATAGCCCTGACCACCAACGTGCTCCCAACTATTAAAGCAGGGCCTTTCTTAGGGCACCTGGGTGGCTCAGTGGATTAAAGCCTCTGCCTTTGGCTCAGGTTATGATCTCTGGATTCTGGGATTGAGTCCCACATCGGCCTCTCTCTGCTTGGCAGGGAGGCTGCTTCCTCCTCTCTCTCTCTGCCTGCCTCTCTGCCTATTTGTGATCTCTGTCTGTCAAATAAATTAAAAAAATCTTTAAAAAAAAAAAAAAAAAAAAGGCAGGGCCTTCCAGCCAGCTGCATCTGAGGCCAAACCCACCTACCTGTGCAAACCCAGCAGTCACAGCCCAGCCGTAACAAAAGGACATGTGCAGTCCACAAAGGGGACACCCCTGAAGTACCTGGTTCTGGGCACTAGGGGAGACTGTGCTTCAAGACCCAAAGGATGTCTTCTACATGAGGTCACTCCATTAAGGCTCTGAGACATAGCAAATCTATCTAACACACAGAAACAAAGAGAGTCAGACAAAATGAGAACACAGAGAAACATGTTTCAAATGAAAAGAACAAGACAAAACCTGAGAAAAGAATGAAATGAAATGGAGATAAGTAAACTACCTAATAAAGAGTTCAAAGTAATGGTCATAAAGATGTCACCAAACTAAGCAGAATGGATGAACACAGTGAGAACTTCAACAGATACTATCAAAAAGAACCCATCAGAGCAGAAGATAAAATGATACACTGGAGGGAATCAAAAGCATATCAGATGATGCAGAAGAATGATCAGTGATCTGGAAGAAGGGTAGTGAGAGTCACCCAAGTTGAACAGCATGGAGATAAAACAATTTTTAAAAATGAGTAAAGTTTAGGAGATAACTCTGAGAAAACATCAAGCAGACTAACATTTACATCATAGCAGTACCATAAGGGGGAAAAAAGAGTAAAAGAAGTAGAAAGCTTATTTGAGAAAATAATGGCAGAAAACTTCCTTAACCTGGGGAAGAAAACAGATATCCAGGCCCAGGAAGCACAGGAAGCCAAAAACAAGATTAACCCAAAGAGAGCTACACTAAGAAATGTTAATAACGAAGATGTCAAAAATTAAAGATGAGGAGATAATCTTAAAAGCAGCAAGAGAAAAGCAACTAGTTATGTCCAAGAGAATATACACAAAATCATCAGCTGATCTTTCAACCAAAACTTTGCAGGCAGAAGAGAATGGCATCATATACACAAAGTACTAAAAGGAAAAAACCTACAACCAAGAAAATTTACTTGACATCATTATTTAGAACTGAAGACAAGATTAATAGTTTAAAGACAAAAGTCAAAGGAGCTCACCAACACTAAACTGGCCTTATAAGAAATGTTAAAGGGACTTCTTTAAGTGGAAGAGAAAAAGCCACAACTAAAAGAAAATTACAAAAGAAAAAAAGCTCACTGGTAAAAGCAAACATATTGCAAAGGTAGTGCTGATCAACCACTTATAAAGTTAGTATGAAGGTTAAAAACAAAAATAGTAAAATCAATGATATCTACAGTATTTTGTTAAGGGATATAAATACGTAAAGCAGGATGTCAAAACATAAAACACTGAAGGGTGGGGGAAAATGCAGTGCTTTTAGAATGTGTTTGAACTTAAGAAATCATCAACTTAAACTTACATACATAGAATATTATACATGAAATTCATGATAAACAAACCAAAAACCTATGATAGATACAAAGGAAATAAACAGAAAGGAATCTAAACATAACACAAAAGAAAGTCATCAAATCCCAAAGGAAGAGATCAAGGAAAAAAACGAAAAACAATTAACAGAGAACTACAAAAACAGAAAACAAAAAAACAGCAGTAATTACATACCTACTGATAATTACAGGGTAAATGGAAGAAATACTACAATCAAAAATTCAGGATGGTTGAATGGATAAAGAACCAAGACCCATCAATATGCTGCTTATCAGAGACTCAACTGCCACCTATGTGGCTCAGTCAGTTAGGCATGAGACGCTTGGTTTCAGCTGCGGTCATGATCTCAGTCATGAGATCAAGCCCTGCATCAGGCTTGTGCTGGGCATGCAGTTTGTTTAAGATTTTCTCTCTCCCTCTGCTTTACCTCCCTATCATACACCTGCTGTTCACGTGCTCTCGTTCTCTATCTCTAAGAAAAAAAAAAAAAAAGACTAGTTCAGACCTAAGACACATACAGACTGGAAGTGAAAAGATGAAAAAAGATAGTCCAAGCACACAGAAATGAAAAGAAGGCTGGGGTAGGAATAGTTACATCAGATAAAATGGACTTTAGAACAAAGACTATAAAGAGACAAAGAAGGACATTAAATAATGACAAAGGGACCAATCTAACAAGAGGATATAATAATTATAAATGTCTATGTATCCAACATAGGTGCACCTAAGCATATAAAGCAAATATTTATAGACACAAAGGTAGAAACTGACAGTAACATAATGACACCCCACCTACATCAATAGAGAGATCATCCAAAGAGAAAATCATTAAGAAACAATGGCCTTAAACAACAGATTAGACGAGGTAGACATAATACAAATATAAAGAACACTCCATCTAAAACAGCAAAAAACACATTCCTTTCAAGTGTACATGGAACCTTCTCCAGGGTGGATCACATGTTAGGTCACAAAACAAGTCTCAATACATTTAAGAAGACTGAAATCATATCAAGCATCTTTTTAACTACAAGGGGATGAAACTAGAAATCAATTACAAGGGGAAAAAAAAAAACTGGAAAAAACACAAACATGAGGAGGCCAAACAAATGCAAATAAACAACCAATGGGTCAAAGAAATCAAAGAAGAAATTAAAAAAAATCTTGAGACAAATGAAAATGAAAACAGAACTTCCAAATCTGTGGGACAGAGTACAAACAGTTCTAAGAGAGAAGTTTATAGTGATACAGGCCTACTCTAAGAAACAAGAAAAATCTCCAATAAACAGTCTAACCTTACACATAAAAGAAGAACAAACAAGGCCTAAAGTGAGCAGAAGAAAGTAAATAAATAAGTATCAGAGAGGAACCAAATAAAACAGAGACTGAAAAAGACAACAGAAAAGATGAATGAAACCAAGAACCATACTCTGAAAAGATAAATAATATTTATATGGACCTAGATAGTACTATGCTAAGTAC